CTCCTTTGCTCCTCTGTAGAATGCATGGGCAGTGGGAAAGTCTGCATATCAGTTCAGTGATCGTAGATGTACATTGTTCACTTTGTCCATCAGTGCCCCAAAGCAGTTTATTATCTTCATCTCCTCTCCTTAGACACAAAGGCTGCATCAGAATGATACGTTTCTTTTCCTTTAAAAATCAAAAATATGTAGCAATTTTGCAAGATTAGGTTGCTGTTTTTTTAAAGTGGAGACTCTGATTTTGGGAACGTACCTAAATACAAGAAATGATCATAGAAATGAGCCCCTGCCCTGCCCTGCCCTGCCCCTGGCTTGGTTGAGATCTGAACATAACATTGAGTTGGAAGCATTATACACATGCTTATTGTTGATAGTTGATCTTGTGAGCAGGCCATGGAAAATTATGGCGGAATGGAATGGAAACCAGTGATTTAGATAATTACTTGGGAGGTTATCACTTCAACAGGGTGTTTGACATTGAATAATGGTTGAAGAAATTGTGAGGGATATTGTTCTGCTTCTTCCCCATGTTACTTTCTTGTATGAGAGCCATTGTTGCATGGTGGTTAAGAATGCTGGACAGGAATTGTTGAGAAATTCCTCAGCAGTAGCCATTCTAGGTTACCAGAGGAGTAGAGCACAGTCCAAATAATTAAGGTTCATAGGTTGTTGCTGTGAGTAGTCCCCAATTAAAGCAACTGAACGTCTGGGCTAGGAGATCTTGTTGTTGTGAGGAGAAGCGACCTTGAATTCCTTCCAAGGAAAACAGCAGGCTATGAATGCGATCTAATAATAACTGCAGTAATAATATTTGAAATGGCAAGAGCTATTTTGAACTTCAGCCAAAACTCTCTGTACCTCAGGGGATTTGGCACTCAGCTTTATCAAATGGACATTCATCTTCAACAATGGTTTTTCAATGTATTTCCCCAATTTATTATTACAGGCAACATTGTGTTGTCTGAAACAGTATTTATCAGGATAAATCTACATTCTGAGGTGTAATTCGGAAATTTGATTGCCAGGAGACAGAAGAGAGAATGTATCCTTGAGAAGAGAGAATAATACTCTTTTAGGAGCCTTTGCAAGCGGGAGAGAGAGAGGTCAGTCAAGTTACTTTGTTCTTTCATCCTAAATCTCAGTGAGATTTTAAAAATAGATGGAAAAGCCCAGGTTTGCAATACCTTTACTTCTACTTCTCTCGATCTTGGGATCATATTGCACTTGGCCAGAAAGACCTTCGGTGTTCGCAGGTCCCTTTTGTGGGTCTGCTTATATAATGAACATCCAGTTCTTAACGCTTAATTCTGTGAATGTGCAATGCTAGGCCCTATAACTTCCAGCATGGCTCAGCCAGGATGGCTCAGCCACCATGGCTGATTGGAAGATGTAGGACATTTTCTGTCTATCCATGCATAAGAGTGCCTCCTACTTGGCTTAGGACTTAGTTTCCTTAAGGGACACTCTATTTTGTTCTCCACTCAGGAAGAAGAACTCATGTTCTTCTGCAGAGGTCAATGGAGCATCTCCTGGCCTGATCAAGGGAAAAGATAAGCCACAGATGGTGGAGTGTGAGCTTTCCTTTGCTTGCTTTTATTCTGCATCCATATGTCATGATGGAGATATTCAATCATCTATGCATCATGTTTTATACAGGTGTTTTGTTTCTTTCTAAGCATCTTCACAGTGAAAGTGAGGTGCCCTGGCTAGACCAAGTCCACACAGATTAATAGCAATAGGTATGGTGAGAAGGACATTTTTGCAGACCTATCTACGCACATGGCTGCAAAAAACCAGAGCCTACATGGATCCCACGGTGACTGGCAACATTAGTGTTGGGTCCTGTGGCAAGGACATCACACCAGGTTGCCCCCCAGTCTGTAGGGATGTAGATATGCAAGGGAAGCAACCAAACCATAATGCTGTAGAGTGGAGCACATGACAATTGGGAATTAAAGTAGAAAGGGTGAACAGGTCCCAGAATGTGACTCACATGCTTGTCCAGTGGTTCAGGGAAAGATGAAGGAGCCACCCGGTGTGCAAATCCCCTGACTAAAGGCACATTACAGGATTTTTTTTTCACAAACTGAGCTCTAAAGGATTGTGGGATGATGAAAAAAACACCATATTTCTGAGCTTTGAAAAATTGCACTGGATGGACACTGTGTAGCAAAGAAACAAGACAAGTGGTTCTTTTGCTTAGGCAACTGTGTGACATCCCAGAAGAGTGCTACTAAACAAGGGGGAAAAGAGCCTGGAAAGAGCAAGGTGTCTGAAATACCAATGGTTTTGTGCTTTCAACACAGATGTGTTCCTGATAAAGAGGTGGATGGGAAACCTTGAACTTTGGAGACTGTGACTGTGTTATTGAAAAACACAAGGCCACCACATCTGTTCATGAGGGAATCCTCTGTTTTTATTATTTTGTACCAATAAAAGAAGGAAAAGCAAAGAAAAAGCAACAAGAAAAAGAAAGAGATACCAAGGGATCTTACACAAAAGTGACATATAGTGCTAAGTGTGGGAAATTATGCAGAAAGTCAGTAACTTTTATTACTTCTATCAATTTTGAAACTACAATTTTGACATAAGAACACCTGGTTATTTTAATGAAGGCATTAACTGTAGACCAGTGCAATAATATCACAGTCCTTCCTGTGATCCTGCATGCTGCCGCAACCAGAATGTATGCATAGATGGCCCTGATTCAGATGGAATACACACATTGTCTATGGGGAAAGAAGTATTAATCTTTACCCAAAACAGTCACTCAGTGCAGGAGAGGTAATAGCACATTCTAAGGAGATTCCCTGTGTGTTGCCCACAAACCTTGGCATTTTCTGCTTCAGTAATTTCAATTGGCTCCCAATCTGTTGTCAGTGTGTAAAGATGCATATTTGAAATGTTTCAATTGAGGAATGAGTGGATTAAACTGAGATTTGCAATTGAAGAAAGAGATCTGCAGCAGAGGCTCTCCTCAGGAAGCCCTCCATGAGAGACATCAGGAAGCAAAGTACCCGAAGGAGGGCTTTCTCTGCAGTGGCGCCCCATCTGTGGAATGCGCTCCCCAGAGAGGTTCACCTGGCGCCATCATTATTTGTTTTTCGGCACCAGACTAAGAACTTTTTATTCAAACAATATTTTAACAATGTCTAATATTTATAGGTTTCAATTGTGCAGCCAGGGTCTTTCCGGGTTTTAATTGTATTATATTTATTTCTGTGAGCCGTCCTGAGGCTATATAGCAAGAAGACGGCATACAAAAATCTTAAATAAATAAATAAATAAATAAATAAATAAATAAATAAATAAATAGAATCTATCCACTTGTACAATTTCCTGTCAAGAAAGGAATTTGCAACCTTTCTTAAAAACCCTCTAAAATTAGAGCTGCATTTCTGAAAGCTACCAAGAGTAGTTACTCTGTGGCTTGCACTTTGGCATTGTCTCAAGAGTGTGGGATCTCTGGAACTAGTGAAAACAGAGGGCACCCATGGGACAGCAAAATCAAGCAGAATGAGGCACCACCACATTTTCAAATATGAATATCACTTGCTTGTTTGGATCTGTTTGGCAGCTTACATTCGGACAGGTGTCAAATGGTTCTGAAGGAGAAAAGAAACACTGCAGTTCCTCTGGGTCCATGCATAGATTTGACCAATAGATAGGCCTTGAATGTAACTTGAGGCTTCAAATAGCCATGCCCATAGAAGCACAGACATCTACAGTTGTGAAAAGGTAGTGAAGAATATTTGTGGGGGTTTTTTTGGTAGCTGATTGTAGAAATTATGGGGTGAAATTAAAAAACAATGTTTGTCAACAATGGGCACAACATTTCAAGAAATAGTGTTTACTAGGTGGCCAGATGGAGTCACGAAAGCAGTCGGTGTGAGCTTAGGTGGACTCTGGAGGATGGTGGAGGACAGGAAGTCCTGGAGGAATGTTGCCCATGGGGTCGCAATGGATAAGACAAAACTTTGCAACTAGCAACAACAAAGCTGACTGAAAATATGAAAAATTAGTAAATGTTCTCATTTCTGTAAGGATACAAACACAAGATGAAAGAAGAAAATATAACATATGACAAATAGTGTACTGAAATAACAAGAAAAGAAGCAGCATTCTGCAAATCTGACTAGGCTGTGTTTCTTTTGTATTCTGGTTTATCCAGTGACTGTCATAGGCTCAGTGCTATTAAGACCAATTCTCCAATTCCAGTAGTTCAGGCACTTTCTTTCCACTTTGATTCCGAGTCAATTGCTTCTCTCACTCATACACCATTTCATTTGTATCCCTCTACCCTCTGATATAGGGCTTTCTATCTTAAATCTCTCTTTCCTGATCCCTACCGATTGTGTAGGTAGTCTCTCTCCTCCATTTTGAATCTTAGGGCCTTTCCCAGGCAAGTTCTTAACCTTCCACTTAGTTGCTCCTCCTTCTGGTTTCCTTTGCAGACAAAGAGCAGATCCATAAACAGAGGTTTCCCCCCCCCCCTTTCTTTTCTTGCCTTAATTGTGCAACTGCAGTAGCATTTCATTCCCTTTCCCTGAAATACCAGATTTTACCTCATCATTTCCACCTCACCCCCTAACGCAAAAAGCATCCAGATTCTGGCTGATGATTGCATGTGACTGGGATGGTGAGTGCGCAATTCAACCCTTGCTATGAAAAGACATAATTTGGTACCTACTCATGTATTCATCTGACTTAAAGTTGAACCTCCCGAGAACCGGTTTTGTCTTTTCCCTTTTACTCTCAGTTGTAACATCCTTAATTTAACCAAACAGTTGATCATTAAAAAATTACTATTGTAAGTGGAACTAACAATCAAGAACACTTGAGGGTATCCAAAACACCTATTCTGAACTCAAATGTGAGAAATGAATTCAGACAGGAATGTTCACCCTTGCAAGCACTCTTTTTCAAATTCTGTTAATACCCAATCATCAGAAATTCCAGGAAAATAATCTTCAGGATTTGCAGGAAAATAATCTGTCTTTTCAGTTTTTCTTTCTTATTAGGTGTTCCTTGTTGTTCAGATCAGGTCTGAGTACAATAATGTAACATTTGGGGCCAAAGATGCAGCCCAGCAACCCAGCACCGGATGATAAGATGGCAAAGATTTCCACAGCCACCACATATTTCCCTTTGGTGCTCAGGTAGGCTGGAACAAAGGACAACCACACACTGCAGAAGACCAGCATGCTGAAAGTGATGAACTTGGCCTCATTGAAAGCATCAGGCAACTTCCTGGCGAGAAAAGCCACAGTTAAGCTGACTGCAGCCAAGAATCCTAAGTAGCCCAAGACACAATAAAACATGGGAGCAGAGCCCTCATTGCATTCCAGAATGATTTTGTCATCCAGGGAATGCACATCCACATCTGGAAATGGAGGAGTCATACTCAGCCAAAGTGTACAAATGGCTGCTTGAATCAAGGAGCCAGAAAGGGCAATTGAATTGGCTAGTCCTTTCCCCATCCTTTTCCTCATCCTGGAGTCTGGCTTGGTGGCCACGAATGCCAGAAGCACAGTGATGGTTTTGGCCAAGATGCTGGAAAGGGCCACACAGAAGACAGTGCTGAAAACTGTTTGTCTCAGGAGGCAGGTCACCTTTCCAGGCTGCCCGATGAAGAGCAATGTGGAGAGGAAGCAGAGAAGCAGGGAGGTGAGGAGGACGTAGGTGATGCTTCGGTTGTTGGCTTTGACTATGGGGGTGTCCTTGTCCCTGAGGAAAGTGCCAAGCACCAAAGTTGTGATGAAAGAGAACGAAATAGCCAAGCTGGTCAAGATGATGCCTAAATATTCAGTGTAAGAGAGGTAACTTAGATCCTTGGGAACACATTGTGTTTGTTTCTTGTTGGGATATTGATCATCCAGGCATTTGATGCAAGCATCCATATCTGGAAAGAAGGAAAGGAAGGAAAAGTATTTAATCATGCCGATGAAATTAAGCTATGAACCAAGCAGAAGTCTTTGACAGGAGGCGTTATTTCTTTGCCTAATTCCTAATGTAGAATGTGGAATAACAACAACAACAACAAAGTGGAGGTGTGTATAATATATAGATATACAGTGGTACTTTGGCTCACAAACATGTGAGTTCACGACAAAATTGTGTCGAGAACAAAAATTTCATAAACATTTTGACTTAGGTCGCGAACTTCACATTGGGTGGTGGCCGTGATCACAACCATCTCCCCCCCGCAAGTGGGGAGATGGCCACAATTGTGCTGGGGTTGCGGGGGGGGGGAACTCATGGCTGAGATTGCACCCATCTTTCCTGCATGAGCGCTATCATGATTTCCGCCGTCTCCCCGCCCCCAGCACGATCACATCTGTCTGTCCCTTTTGTACGCCAACATTTGCGCCTGTCTTCCCTACCCCTGAGCACGCCGAGATGATGGGTGCATGCAGGGATGATAAGCATGAGGAGATGGCCACACTCGTGCTCAGGGTGCGGGGGGGGGGGGTGGTGGCCACTATCTTTGTTCTTTTTCACTTTGCTTCACATTTTTCTGATTTAAAAAATAGTTACAGAATGGATTAACCTTATTTACCTTGAACCTTATGGGGAAAATTAACTTGGCTCATGACCAATCTGGGTCATGAACAGAGTTCTGGAACACATTAAGTTCATGAGCCAAGGTATCACTATATATGCATGCATGCATATAAAATTAACATATACTATTTACAATATAGTGTAAAAGCTCTTGGCATAATGTGTCAGTGTTGTAACTTCCCTGCTACCCTCGTATTAAAAAGATTTGCAAATTGAAATCACTTCCAGGAAGATAACTCCACTCTGCCACCCAAAGGTGAAGAGGTTGTTCCTTGAATTAAGAATTTCTGCAAAGGTTAACAGGTGTATTTTGCCCAACAGTAGCCAGTCAGATCATTATTCATTCATTTGCATGAATTTATATCTTTTCCTCTTTGTGCAGGGAAGCCAGAGCCTGTTATGCTGGACTTCTGGAGCAGTTTTGGGAGGCAGCAATGAATGGGGAGAGGTGTCCGTGTTTATTTGATTCTTTTCAAAGGTATCTGTGTCAAGGAGCCCTTCTATTTATGTTGATGGAGTACAACTTCTCCAGATAAATACATCATGAATATGTCACATAAAGGGGGTGTGATTGCGCTTTGGTCCACATACCCTTCATGTGAGAGATCATGCCTTCTGGACATGGAGCACAGTCATAGCAGCAAAATTGCTCTCGCTCCTTCTTTTTCCTGCTGTGACCTGGGTAGCAGTGGTTGTTGCACATGGAAGTGGGCACCACCTGTAGAAAAGCATGGAGGTGACAAGATGAAGCAATCATCAATGCAGAGATGTCTTGCACACATATTCTTCAGCAAGGTCTGAAGAGGAAATTGAATTGAGCTAAGAAATTCATATCCCTTTCTTCAGCTGGGGATCAATGACTTTAGTCCCAAGAGAACCTTTCCCACTGGGAATGTGTGGGGCTGAAATGGATGGCAGGGAGGGGTCCCATGATCTAGGAGAGTTGCTTGTACATGCAATCCCTATGGAAGGGGGCTTTTGGTGGGAAAGTAGGCATTGGTGAGAGGAAGAAGTTCAACAATGAAGGCATCTGTATAAGCAGGAAGCCTGTCAAATGCAAACAGGTTGGCTTAATGTGGAATGTGCTCCTTGGGGAGATATGCCTGGTGCCGACTTTATATTCTTTTCAGCGCCACATTAAAAGCTTTTTATTTAATTGCTATTTACAAAAATCTAATATTTTATCATTTGCAGTTGCTCTTGTTCATTTTTGTTTTTTTATAATCTTTTATGGAATTTGCTATTGTCTTATTGTTTTTAATTGTGTGTGTTTTGAGCCATCCAGGGATGCCAAGGCATGTGGTGACAGGATACAGAAGTTTTAAATAAATGCAATAAAATAGCACTTTGCCCTAGATCTGCAAGATATTAGTTACTGAACTTCTAAGAGCACTTGTGAACTGCCAGCAGTTTTGGAAGGGAATTACATGTAGTGCAGTCTTGAAAGCAGGATGTTGAGGCCAGTTTTCAAGGCCTAACTCACAGAACCAGTTTGATCGTTCTCCATCTCAATGGTAGATTTCGCATATGAAAAAAAATTCCCTCTCCAAATGAAATTGAAGTGTGCAATCCTATGGTCTGTTCACATTGCCTGGGGGAGAAGAAGCTTTCTTGGTGACCATGTACCGACGAAATAACTACATGAGATGTTCCTTATGATGCATGGCTGTTGCAGAGCCTGCTACCACCATGCCTCATAAGTCTCCACCTTTGTGTTCTTCTGTGCACCTGGCACGAAAATGAAAGTGTCACATTCTCCATTATTGAACTGTTATCTCCACTTTTAAGGAATCACATGGTCATGAAATCACTTGTGAATGCAATGTCAATCAGCAGGCAGAAGTTTAAACATGAAGCATTTGCAGCTGTTCCTTACCTGATTAAAGCTTGTGTGCCATGTGATTTGGTCACCATCAATGTTTAACTCTTGGCCTGCAGGAGCCTGGGGGTCCAGGCTTCCAACTGTCAATCTAGCCATGGAGCCATTGGGGAACATCAGCCAGTTGGTAACATCAAACTGTGTAACCAGCTCTCCATTTTCGTTAAAATGCAAGGTGTCTCCAGCATTATTATTGAATGAGATGCTGCTTAGAAATTGATGGAGCTAGGTTGAAAGAAAGAATTCCCAGAGGTATAGAAATCGATATAATGAACATCAAAAGCATTTTCCCACCAGCATCTGGAGTATTCCTATGTTGCCCCAATATAGGAGACACCATCTTTCTTGCTACATTTTCTCAGCATTTAGACCCATATTGAAGGTGGCTTCTGAATAATCAAATTTTAAAATCATGTTTGACTGGATTGCATCCACATTTTGTCATGCCTGAAGAAATGTGCAGAATTAAAATGTGTTTAATTAAGATTATTTTATATGGATATTTTAACTTATTGTTTTATCTATGTTGTAAGCCGCCCCGAGGCTTCGGCGAATGGGGCAGCATAAAAATGTTTTAATAAATAAAATAAATAAATAAAAGGAGTCATATGAGGTGTAGGCAGAGTGAAATCTACAGCCTCATTGATTCTGGAGGACCTGCTCCAAGAAAGACTAAATGTGAATCAAACCACTGAGGCTGGTGCTATGTATTTGGGTGTATGAATGTAATATTTTTGCAGATGTTGTGTTATGTAGAAGTAGACTCCCTTTTTCCTCTGAACTATAAGAGTACAACATCTTTTGCTAAACTGGAGTGTAAGTTTACAAATTCTATTATTAAAATGAGTTGAGATGCTCTTACCTGCCATGATTGCACATTCTGATGTGCCAGACCCTCTCTCTTCACCATTCTTTTGTGTTTGGAGCTGCTGTCATAGATGGCATGCAAAGCATGTGCAATAGCATAGGCAGAATTGTACACATTATAGCTGTGGCCAGTCATTTCCATCTCAAAGAATGTTCCAGGAAGGTTCTCCAGCTTCTCATCCCCTGAGCAGGTCTCCTTGCCCTGTCCCCTCCCATTAGATATTTTTAGAAAACAGTTGAATGCCTGCTCCCAGAAGTCCTGGATGAAACCATCTTCTTTGTCCCATCTGGGTTTAACCAAGTGTGTAAATGTTTGGAATCCTAATGGCTGATTAGAGTGAACAGAGAAGGATATGGAACCATGGAAGGTTTGCATATCCCACATCTTTTGAAGGGAATGTGATGCAAAATCCCAGTGGGAGGTAATAATCCACACTTTACCTAATGGTGGCAAATCTAAGAAGGATGCTAGAAAAAGTAACAGTGTCAAAGACTGAAAAGAGGGAGCTTCTCCATATACAAAGATTACATTGGCATTGCTCTCAATGGCAGTATTGTAGCTTTTCCAGTGCTGCAAAATCACTTCTATTGCCTGTTCCACATAATTCCATTTTGCTATTCTCACTATGAAGGCATCACAAATGAGATTCTGGGAAAGCATTGGCACCATAGTCTGGAGGAACCTTTGCCCTTTGTCATCATCCACAGCACAAAGCCCAATCCAAGTCCATCTGAAATGCTGAAGTAGCCGCACAACTCCCTTGTACTGTTGGGCTTCATTTGGGACCATCTGGTAAAGAAAAGGGAAGAGGACTTTGCCCCCTTGTTCTGGCAGAAATGATCCATAGGTGATCTGCATAGAAATACTTTCATGATAAATTCTAGAAGAATTATTAAATGCCTCAGCATACAGTAAATCCAGAATTAGAACCTCCCCTTGAAGAACCTCATATGTCTTTTAGGAAAGACCTCCAGCATAGGGTCAGTGTAAGCAGGAAGCAAGACCCACCCCCACAGATATTTAGTTCTGCTATTTGTCTCTCTTTACCTGAAGACTGTTATTTTAAGTTTGATGTAAAATCTAGTACTGTCCTCCGTTGAGGAGAGAACAAGTTTTTCTGCTGAACTGGTATTCAGCTATTTGAAGAATGCTACACTCATTGATCTCTTTTTATTCAGACTAAACAAATTACAGTTTATTCATTTCCCCTCTGTGCACATTCCCTCAAATTTTCCAACATTTTCATTCCCTTCTTCTGAACCTCTTCTAATTTCTCAATAGCTGGAAATGACTTGCCCTAAATGAGGACTCAGTCATGTAGAGTGACTAGCATGAAATAAAGTGAAATTCATTACCTGCAGCCTTGGAAGTTTAATCCAACACAAAAGTAAGGGTCTCCATGTTGAATGGGGATTAGAAGAGGGCATTATAGTTGGAACAATCATGGTGACTGTATCAAGGTTAATTGGTACACTAAAGCTCTTAGTTAAAATGGTGATCAGGGATAAAATTAATTTTTAAAATATGTATAAGCTTCCTGAAATGTTCAGGTGCCATCATGATATATTCATTTACAAACCCCAGAAAGTTCAGGAGCCTCAGTTACCTTTGGAGAAGGAAAAGTATTTTGAAACAAACAAGAGTTGGGGGGGGGGGAGAGAGAGAGAGAGAGAGAAGAATCCCCAAAACAACCTTCCCATTTGCAAATCTGTATGTGAGAAGATCTCTCCTGTCATGCTTATTTCCCAGCAGATTTGTTGTCCACCGGTCTGCCAAGTGATGGTAGTATTCCTAGAGATCTCTCAAGATGAGGAAGGTTCAATGGTTGGCATAAAAATACTGTGGAACCTTGAAACCTGGAGAGTTGTGTGTGTGGGGGGGAACACCTTAGTCACCTCCAGGGACAAGCAGTCAGAAATTTACTTCAGAGGTAGTTTTGGTTGAATGCATTATACCACCCAGCAATGTACTGGGGTGCAGTACACTGCAGTTCTTTGTAAGCAGTCAAGTCTTACGAAGAAATAGTCATTCATCTTTGCTGAATTCCTCTTTGTTTCTTTCATGTCACTCTGCATTTTACCTCTTATTAGGAAATATCTGTTTTTGGAAGAGTTAGCTCCCCTCTAGTGTCATCCAGAAGTCTCACATATTTTCTTTCTATATGCTCATCCATGTCACTTGTAAATAAATGTTGAAACCTGGCCTCTATGCAGCGCCCATTGACACCACACCCAAAACCACTTTCCACTTGGAATAGTGGTCATTGGTGATGTACAGTTTCCTAACAAGCGGAGAATCCAGCTTTGTCATTTTGCCTGCATCTTTTAAAGATATTTCACTAAAATGAACAAGATGGTGTGTGACACCTTCAAAAACTCCACAACCTATGCATATGGCTTACCTGTGGAATCTTCCAGATTGCTGAAAAGATGGCCGTATTGGCAGAGGTTTCAGAGAGGCATCCCCCAATGACAGCTATCAGTAAGTTCTGGTCATGACATTTGTAGTTGGGAACAATCCTGTGTCGTGTGGAAAGCAGGTTGAGGGTGGCCTTGAAGGTCATTTTGGCTGTGTAGTAGCTATTGAGGATGTGGAAGCCCAGGGAGATATTGGATAAGATGTGGGGGTTCTCATTGATCTGCTTCACAGCAAAAGCCAAGGCCAGGACATGCTGGTAGTTCTTAGGCACCGAACTGAAAGAGGCACAGGTTATTTCAGTAGTAATGCAACAGTAACATGGTTCCTTTTGCATACCAGTGATAATAAAAAAGAAAAAGAAACCCAAATATTTCCTTTTTTTTTTTTTTAAATAACTCTAAGAAGGCTTATAAACCTGGGCACAATCAAGGTTCAGCACTGAATAACCTAGTTTTGATATTTCTGGATAAGGTGAGATATACAGAAAGGTGAAATCAGTACACAGAACTGTATTTAACCCATCATTTATACTGCCTTTGAGCCTCAAGACTTTCATTCATCTTGTACAACACAAAACAATGGAAATGGCATGTGGAACTGAAAAGATCAACAAGCCCAAAGTTTATAGTTGCAATGCCAAATTTCCTACATCAATTAGTAAGTAATTATTCCAGTATGCATACTGATACTTTCACAATGATGCATAATTAGAATATATTGCAGGAGGAGAGAGAGTGACAGAAAGAGAGAGACTGAAACAGAGAGAGAAGAAACTGTGCCTTACATGGGCTCCCCAACCAGTGTCTCTGCAGGCTTTTCCATGAAGGTGAGGTTACAATAGAAGAAGAACAACTGAGAAACAATCACCCCAATGACAAGGTCTCCTGCCTGGTAAAATTTATGCAGAATAGGGAGAGGATCATCGGTTGTGGTGCAACTGATAGAATTTCTTCTGCACATAGTTAAACAAAGAAGAAGAGATGAAAGTAGAAGTACTACCTTGAGGATCCTTCTGAACAAACCTCCTCTGCAAAGCTCCATTCCTACGTCTCACTAATAGCTTCTATCGATCTGCATGAAACATTTTTTCATCACTTTCTTTGAATTTCTTTTAGAATGTGGAGACTCCAGTGTTGGAAACCTGCCTAATATTTGAGAACTGGTCATAAAAAAGAATCTCAGTGCCCTGCCCTTGCCTAGGTTGAGGTCTGAAAATAAGAATGTGTTTGAACCTCTTTAGTGATGTTGAAGGTTGAACTTGTTAGCCGGCCATGCAATATCTTGGAACAACAGACCAAAAATCAGTAATTTAGATAATTACATGGGAGATCATCAGTTGGACAGGGAGCATGACAATTCATAATGACTGAGAAAATTGCATGGAATATTGTACTGCCTACTACACTTGTTCTTTCCCCTTTTGAAAGCCTGGGCTCTTAAGTGGTTAAGAGTGCTGGACTGGGATTGTAGAGAAATTTCTCAGCAGAGGCAACTCTAAGTGATCAGAGTCCTGAGAAGCAGAATAGGGTCCAAAGAATTTGGGGATCCCATTCTGCTTTCTCTGTTTTTGAGGCTTTCCAAAAGTTGTTTCTTTTAGGATAAAATGGAAAAGCCATCTTTATTTCCTTGCAAGACAAAGGGCAGCCAATGAGTCTAATACTAATAATGGTAAATAAAATGGGAAGAGATCGGGTTGCATCTGCACAGAGTCATATTCGGCTTCAGCCAAAGTTTTTGGGACATGGGGCAGTCAGCTGCACCACACTGATTTTCAAGGACTTTTTGTCCCATTTATAATTATTATCAGCATCATGTTGCTGCAAGTACTATTGGTTGTGATAAATTGACATTAAATTTTTGGGTAGGTACAACAGATTGCTGAGGGAGAGAATCAGGGTGAGTCCTGAGAAGACAGAAGAATAATTTTATAGGCATTGTTGTGAAAGAGAGGAGGGTCAAGTTAGTTTTTGCCCCAACTTTAGTGGGATTTTAAAAACAGAATGAAGGATAAGAGGAGTATCCTCTCCCTTTGCTATTTTAATATTCATATACTAGAAATATCTTAAATGAAATCAAAATATTTATTCACAGAAATGAACCTTTGCTTGCCATTTCTTTTCCTGAATCAGTTGGAATCATATTGTAGTTTCCAGAAAGACCTGCATTGGTTGCTGATCAGATTAGTGGGTCGACTTGTAAAATCAAAATCTTCTTAACATTTAATTCCATATGAGTGCAATCCTATGCCCTACATCTGCCAGCATAGCTCACTTATCATGGCTGGTTTTTAGATGTAGGATATTTTCTGTCTAAACATGCACAAAGGTGGCTTCTAAATGTGGTAGGCCTTGCCTCCTTTGGAAAAGAGGTGTCCACTATGACATCCTATCATAGGCTCCCATCTGAAGGCACCCTAACTTGCAGCATATTCAATGGGCACTGGGTTCTTCTTTTGTGTTGATCTGAAACTGTGGAATAAGTTCCCAATTGGAATTCTCCTAATTATATAGTTTGTACAATGTATGAGGGGTTTTCTCATATGTTGCCTTCTGTATGCAATGATCTCTAACAGAAGAATAGTGAGGAATGTTCATAGACAGGCTGGTGAACAATTCCAGTGACCAAAAGCTGGGATAGCTTTCTGGAATCATGCTAAGCTCATGCATTGTTCAGTTGATTTGGAAGAGCACCAGAGAGCATTGTCTAGTAAGTATCTTCCACAAACATTGTATAGGAAAGGGCTTCTTATGTTGTAAGAGAGGAGGTATTTGCTTTACTTCAGCAGTTTCTTACCAACTTCCTGGAAGTGTGTGATGGTTGCAGCCTGTATTTTCTGATGACTTCTAAAGCAGTGTGAGAAAGGAACTTTATTGATTTCATAGCAAGGGTCATTGTGTTTTGTTTTCAGTTTGGGGAGAAGAGCAAATGTGTCACCTTCCAAGAAAACTAGGGTGGTCCATGCAGCATCTCCCCATCCATTTGAGGAAAAGCTTTCTTTTGCATGATTGTATTCTGCATCTGAATATTCAATAATATATACATCATCTACAGCACAGGTCGGTTTTTCTCTAAGTAAATTCATGTTGAACGTGAGGTGCCCTGAATAGACCGAAACCTCATGGATTATTACAAATGAGTGCAGTGTAAAGAACAGATTGGCAGACCTATCCACATTGTTGCAAACGACCAGAACCTACAAGAATCGCATGATGGTTAGCTACATTAGTGTGGGGTCCTCTGGGAAGAATTTCCTCCCAAGTTGCTCCTCAGTCTGCATAAATGCAAATTTGCAGAGGATGTACCCAAACCCTAATGCTTTTGAGTGGATCACATGACAACTGAGTCTTAAAGAGTGGGAGAGAACATGCTCAGGAATGTGGTCCATGTGCTTGTTCAGTGCTTAAGAACAAGATGAAGGGTCAAATGGTGTGCGATATCCCAAAGGTAAAGGAACGGTAAAGGATTTTTTTCCTCAAATTGAGTTTCAACAATGCTGGCAGGCCGCTGGAGGGACTTTGCATGCCCACTTCAAATGCCTGTGGGATAATGGAGAAAACACTGTGTTTCTGAGCACGGTAGAACTGCACTGGATAGATTCTCTCTGTAGCAAACAAACAAGACAAGTGTTTCTTCTTTGCTTAGGCAGCTGGGACACATGAAAGAAGAGTGGACATATGCAAGGGCTGCCAAACAAGGGACAGAGAGCGGGAAACAACAAGATGTCCCAAAGGCCAATGGCTTTGTCATTGACCAAGGATGGGATTCCAATGGAAGAGGTGGATGGGAAACTTTGGATTATGGAAAGAATATGGCTTTGAAAAACACCATCCCACCACATAGATGAACAAGGCAATATTGACTGCACCAGAGAAAGAGTTTGAATGTCCAATGCTGTAGGTTCCAGAACCGTTCCCTGACTTGTTGCCAGAAGTGACATGGGCCCAGGTAGGGTGAATGAAGACCACTGCTTGAGAATACCTTAGGTTCTATACATGCTTTTTGTAGCAAGCACTCATTTCCAAGTGTGTCTCACTAATTCTGGCCTCACAGGGGCACGCTGTGTTTTGACTTGACAACTTTCTCTTGGGATGTAGCCCCTGAACATGCCACTTGGGCTTTGAGGAAGACAGCTGATGGGTAGAAGAAGTATGGTGAACAGGTCTGTGGTCCAGATGAAAAGTGGGAGAGGAGAAGTGGACTGTTCTCAAACAGCAGGTGTCCATGCATGTAGAACATGCACATGCCCAGGCAGTTATTCTGACTTTGGCACCCTTCTGAATGGAGGATTTGAGGTGTTTGGATGGCTGTGAGCTGATGCCTGATCCTAACTCCTTCACCAGGCAGACCTGGAATTCATCAGATGACCCCATTCATGTGGGAACCACTCCTTTGATCTTGTATGCTGCCCTGACAAGAATGCATACCTAGATGATCTTGATTCATGAGGAAAACGCATGTTGTGCATGGGGCAGAAAGCAATTTTTGGCCCAAAACAGAACAGACAAGCAAGAGATTCCTTGTTTGTTGCCTGCAATCTTTGGCATATCCTTGTTCAAGAACTTCAGCTGACATCCAATCTCACGCTAGTGTGTGATGATGAATCTTTTAATTAAATAATTGAATTAAGAAAAGATACTAATATATTGGCATTTGCAACTGAAGTAAGAACTTCCCCTCTTGTAGAGTTACCAGCCAAAAAAGAAATTGGCAACCTTTCAAAATCCCAAACTAGAACTGTAGGAATCCCACTATGAACTTAGAACTACGCCCATGGGTTTCCCTTTCACATGCTCCCAAGGTGGCAGAATCTCAGGAACAAGTACAAAACTGAGGGCACCCACAGGGAGGAAAAATCCAGCAAAAAGACAATGAGGACTTTGCCACAGAGGAGGTAAAGAAGGTACCACTTCGTTTTGGATATGAATATCACCTGTGTGTTTGTCACAATGTGACAGCTCACATTTGTACAGCTGTCACATGGTTCCAAAGGAGAAAAGAAATGTACTGAAGTTCGTATAGGGTAGATATCTGCTAGACTTGGCCAACAGATATTTCCTGAATATTACTTGAGGATCTCAGCCACATCCACATAAGTAAAGACATCTGCAGTTGTCAGAACGTAACAGTATTTGAACAATAACTTTTGTAACTGATTTTGGAAATTATGCCATTAATTTTTTTTTGGCAAAATGGGCACAGCATTTTAGGAAACAGTGTTTATCAGTTTACAGAAAAAAAGTAACATGTATGGAATGACCTTCTGAAAGTAATTCTCCAGGTGCCATATTTTACAATATACTTGGTGCCAAGTGAAAAAGTTGTCTTCTCCAAATATTTCAAGGATTGTTTTAATATTATGTTATTTATAGTGCATTTAATTTTAATATATTTTAACTTATTGATATTTGGCCTTTAACTTATTGATATTTGCATATTTTCTGGTTTTTTATGTTGCTTTAATGTGTTTTGAGACTTGATTGTAGTTTATGTTAAATGTTGTAATCCAGTTAAAGAGTCTTCAGGCTAGTTATAGCAGAATATAAGTTCAACTAATAAATAAATTCCAAATTTTATTAATTTATTTTAAATGTCTTATATAGCATCTAATTATTATGAAATCTGAAGATGGTTTGCTAAAAATCAGCATAAAGATATAAACTCAAGATACAAAAAGGAAAGACACAATGTATTAAAAAAGTGTAATAACATAACCAGTGATACATGCATTCTGCATATCTAGCGAGAGTGTGATTCCTGTGCATTCAGGTTTCTCCAGTCAAAATGGGACCATCATAGATTCCGTATTGCTAGGACCAAAGGATACAAAGTCTACCAGGGCAATGTGCAAAAGAAAAAAAAAAAACACAGCATATGAGAAATCGTGTAAAACATAACCGGATATAAATGCATTCAGAAAATCAAGCTGTACTGTGATTATTATTATTATTATTATTATTATT